TCATTCTTGTAGTGCCCAGGTTCTTTGCACTCATAGCACACAACTTCTTTCTTAGCAGATCTTCTATGACTAGAAGATTCCTTTCTGTTGTCAGATCTTCTGAAGTTGTTGAACTTCTTTCCCTTGTGCTTCCAGAGTTTGTTAATCCTTCTGGACAGCATGGATAACTCATCTTCTTCTTCAGAAGAAGATTCTTCAGAGCTTTCTTGAATGACCTACAAAGCTTTAGCAGTTTTGTTAGATTTTAATGCTACAGATTTACCTTTATCTTTCTTCTGAGGTTCATCTTTCTCAAGCTCAATCTCATGGCTCCTCAGTGAGCTGATGAGTTCTTCTAGAGAGATCTTGTTCAGATCTTTGGCCATCTTCAGGGCAGTCACCATTGGTCTCCATCTGATAGGCAGACTTCTGATGATTTTCTTTACATGATCTGATGTAGAATATCCCTTGTCCAGAACTTTCAGCCCAGCAGTGAGTATCTGAAATCTGGAGAACATGGCTTCAACAAATTCAGAGTCTTCCATTTTGAAAGCCTCATACTTCTGGATCAGAGCCAGAGCTTTTGTCTCCTTAACTTGAGAATTTCCCTCATGTGTCATTTTTAGGGATTCAAACATATCAAAAGCTGTCTCCCTGTTTGTAATTTTCTCATACTCAGTATGTGAAATAGCATTCAGTAATATGGTCCTGGCTTTATGGTGATTTCTGAAGTCTTTCTTCTGAGAATCTGTCATAGATTTTCTGTCAATCTTTTTGCCATCCCCATCTGTTGGATGTACATATCCATCTATGACAAGATCCCATAGATCAGCATCATATCCTAGGAAAAAACTCTCAATTCTGTCTTTCCAGTAGTCAAATTTCTCCCCATCAAACATTGGGGGTTTGGTGCTGATCCTATCCCTCTCTTCATATTTATTGTTAATATTTGACATTGAATTATCAGCCATGATAACAAATAAATATATATATCAAAGTATATCTCTCTGGATCTTTACTGACACTGTTAAGTGATAGCACACTCAGAACCGGAGCTCTGATGCCAACTGAAGGTGAGATAATACTTAGAAGGGGGGGTTGAATAAGTATGGAAAATTAAGACTTGAAAATAATCACACAATTATTTTTATCCTGGTTCGTTTAACAACTACTCCAGTCCACCCTTCCTAGAGTGATTTGCCTTTCTCAACAAGGACTTAATCCACTATTAAATCAAACTGATTACAATAGTATCACCTAAGAACAACAGTTCTTAGTCTTCTCAAGAGCTACTGATTCTAACTGAATCCTCTTAAGGAATATCCTTTACAATCAATGTAAATTAAATACAAGAGTATTAATGCTTCTATAAAGCTTTTATCACAACAGTGATTTTTCTCTTAAGTTTAAGTACAATAAATTCTAAGAAGAATAAGAATGAATGAGAGCTTTAGAATATAATGATTTCTTTTCAGCAAAGTGTGTAACTGAAGAATGTGGTGAAGTTCTCCTTTTATAGGCAGCTGATCCATGCAAGCTGAGCGTTGAAAAGAGAGTCCCAAAAAGGTCTGAGCCTTTTTGTCTTCACATCAAGTGACCTTTCCTAGAAGTAGATGGCACAGAAAAATCCTTTTTGTCTGTGTAAGTGTGTCTAACACAAATGAGGAAAGAGACGTTGAATAGCTCCAACGGATATATTCTTGAAAATTACTTCTTCAGTTTTCAGCAAGTTCTTCAGAGTCTGAATGGATCAGAGTCTTCTAATGAGATTCAAAACTATGCTATATCAGAGTCTTCTGCAGCAGGTGTGCTTTCAGCGTGTTGATCATCAGAGCATTTTTGACACAGAACTTCAATACTTGGCAGCGTTGGTACTTTCAAAAACTTCTGTAGATAAATGCTTTGAGAAACTCTTCAATCAATATTCTTCTATGCTTCAGATGCTTCAGCTTCAGATGCTTCTGATTATCTTCAGATGCTTCTGACTCAGAATGTTCTGGAGCTTCTTTCTTCAGATCCTTCTGGAGACAACGCTCAGGATCTTCTGTAAGGAGCAAACAGATTCTTCTGTAAGGTGCATCTGGCGCTTCAGAGTCAGAATAACTTCTTGTTATTCAAAACAGATTTGCTTCTAGAGAGTTAATATTATTTCAATCTGCAGTAAAACTCTCAAACAAATTTTAGAGTATATAATTCTTAAATATAAATTTCCTAACAGTTATCATCAAAACAAAGAGTTATTATTAAGAACCAATCTGTGTTTTAACAGATGACCCACAATTTTGTTGATTCCCGAGAAAGTAGCCATGATGATAGTGACGTCATAAACGTGCATCAAGGTGGCGGAACAATAGCTTGCGTGTTCATAGCTATCTTTCTTTTTCTCTTTCATTCCCTTTCAACTTCTCAGACTTACATTGGTGGAAAGAGTATCAGACGACACTCATGGGGGCAAAGCGCTGTCAAAAAATGTGCTTTTCCACGGTCGAAGTTGAAAAGACATTTTTGGGGGGCAATTTGTTAGCTCCTAAATTCGACGCCTCAGTTAGAAAGAAGGTATCTAAGACGAAAGGGTGGAAAATGGCTTGAATACAAGAAAATGGTCGAAAGAATCAAAATAGCTAAGTCGAAGGACTCACCCAGAGGCCAAGAAGTTCGACCGCCTGCTGAGAAGAATGGGTTGTCGAAGTATTTGGAATTTGAATATTAGAGGGAACGGTTTTACTTGTGGAAAATTGAGGGAGACACGTGTCACCTTATGAGTAATAGATCCATGCATTTGAGACAAGTGGCGGAAGGAGATTACGTTGGAGGTTATGAGAGGTTATTTTTTGTTATTATAAATAGGGTGTCTTAGACATATCCAAAGTGTGTTGTAATTTACTATTGTACAAATTACTCTTAAAACTACTCCGAGTATCCGAGTGTAGAGAAAGCGAGTATTGTAAGAGAATGTACGTGATGTAAACACACCATCTTTTAACTTAATGAAATTTACTTTTTTACTTTAAATTTTACAAAGCCTTTTATTATCTTCATTGTCCTTATCCTTTTTCCTCCTTACCTTATTTCTTTTCTTCCTATGCAATTCTTTTCTCTTCGTCCTCAATCTAAATTCACCTTTACCAACAAACTTTCTTCTCTTTTATTAGAAGCCTCACTTTACCTTTAAGTTAACCCGTAGTCGAATAGATGTTCTTTTGGGATTCTTTTATCCCAATACTGTCCGAGTGTGGAGTTTGAGTAAATTCTTAAGACCTAAAAATAAATCTTTTAGCACATGTCATCGGATCAATTTGATCGATCCTGTGAGTCACCAAAGTTAGATTTGGAAGATCAGCGGTTGTTTTCCGATTTTCAAGGGAAACAGTGGTGTAGCTTCAAGTGACTATACTCTTTATGGTGGAGTATTATTGTCGGCGAAGACAATGAAATTTTATGTATTATTTTCAATCAAGGTGGAGATTGTTGGGGTTGAATGAAAATATACACATTGATATTCTTTATGGTGGAGTATGATTATCTATGAAGACAATGAAAGCTTATGTATTATTTTCAATCAAGGTGGAGATTGTTGGGGTTGGTTGAAAATATACACGTAGAAGTCCCACATCGCTTAGTTTTGTGAATGAAGAGGGAGTCTAAGACTATATATATGATACAAGTTATTTGAAGTCCCAAATTGCTTAGTTTTATGAAGGAAGTGAGAGTCTAATGTTATATATAAGATTCAAGTTCTTCATTTCAAGATTCACCAATCAAAAGCACTTTAAGCTTGTATTTGATTTTCTTTGTTCTCTTATACTTTTGTTTTAGAGTATTGTGAGATGTAGTTAAATATTAATTTTGGAAAGTGTGGGTGTACTGGAGGTCTAGATTATGACTGTGGTTTTTTCCTCCGATTTTGAAGTTTTTACGTTATGTTCTTGTGTTATGATTGTGTTCCTCTTTTTTCTCTATATTTTGTTTGTTTTTTCTTAACAAAAAAATATCTATATTTTTCTGTTCTAGTGTCATCACGTTTCAACATATCTTCAAAGAAAGTTTAAAAGATTTGGATGATATCGTTTAGACAACTTATTCAATGCATGACAAAAAGATTATCAATCAATAAGAAGAGATATAGATGTACATTATCAATAATTTAGGACGAGTTTGAGATTGATGACGTAAAAATACATATTGATAAGTTACCCAACATAATAATTGAATAAGAAGGAAATAGTTTCCAAGAGAGTTTAAGAAAATATGTCATAGTCTTGAGTGAGAGAATTTACAAATTGATCAAGTAAAGAAACGTTACTATAGAAAATAATATAAAGACTATGTAAATTGATGTATATAAATTATCTTTTGAACATATAAATTTCATACACCCATTTTACATTAAAAAAAACAAATAATTGTTGATTGATTAAAATGGGTTCGAAAGACTTTGGAATGTGACAAAAGATCATTTTCGAATTTCTGAGAGAAACCTAGGATAACTAATTAGCAACCCCTCTCTAAAATATTGTTTTCCAATATTTTCCACATTAAAATGCCTTAAAGCCTTAATTGGGCCGTTAAGGAAGAAGCGAATCAGGTACGCACAAAGCCAATCCAATCTTCTTCTCATTCTCTCACCCCTTCACTCTTGCTTTCCCCGCCAAACTCTTCACCCTTCATTCTCTAACTCACTCAATTCACTTCACTTTTTTTCGCAATTGCGCTTTTCTTCGCTTTTCCATTTCTCTACTTGTATGGTATCGACCTAATTTCCCATTCTCTATTTTCTTTTCAAATTAGCATTTTGTTTCTCTTCACAATTTGTGTGTTACGAATAATGATTCTTCCTGGTTCCCTATTTGAATTAATTTCAATTTAGGTTAGCTTTATTGAGTGTTTTTATCTGGATCTTGTGTTCATATTTTTCATGCATTTTGATTATTGATGTTTCTGGTTTTTTTAGTTGTGTTGCAGGTGATTAAATACGCATGTAGGTGTTGTATAATGTCTTGACCGTGGTGCAAGAGTTATCAATGGCGGAATGCGTGACTTCCCCATTCTGCTTTAAGCTGCATACGCAGATAAGGCCTTTTACAGAAAGAGGTTACTCTCATCAGACTACAAATTTCAAGACTGTTCAAAGGTTTCATTTCATCATCATTGCTACTATTATTTATTATAGTTAGAATACCTGTGTCAAACTTAACATGCTTTTTTTCACCGTCAATTCAATCTTGAAATTAGCCAATCAAGCAGTAGAATCTAGCAAGTAGATGTAAACTATCGAATTTAAGCGGGATGGCTGAAATGGAGGAGGGTTTTAGGGATTTTATGTGACACTAAGGTATCGTTCAAGATAAAGGGAAAATTTTATTGGACTGCGGGAAAACCTGCAATGTTGTATGCGACAAAATGTTGAGTGGTTAAGAATCAACACGAGAATAAAGTAAGTGTAGCAGAGATGAGGATGTTGCGTTTGGTGTGTGGTAAGTCTAGACATGATAAGATTAGAAATGACAATTTTAGAGTGTTAGAGTAGCACTTATAGTAGAAAAGATGGTGGAAAATAGTCTTATGTAGTTTGGACATATAGAGAGAAGACCCGTACATTCTGTGGTAAGAGGAGTAAATCAAACGGAGAGAAGTAAAATAAGTAGAGGTAGAGAAATACCTAGAAAAACTATAAAAGAAGTTATTAAGAAAGATACTGAGATTAACATTTTGGATAAAAACATGGTCTTGATAGAATATTATGGCGAAAGTTGATCCATGTAGCCATCCATTTAGTGGGGTAAAACTTGATTGTTGTTGTTGTATGTCAATATATGATATAGAATTATAAGTAAATGTGTATTATTAAATTGTATATCTACGGTTGTCTGAATCGTTTAGAATGTTACATACATGATCATCATATTGCACACTATAGATTATGGTCATATTTATTATTGATCAATTAATAAAACAGTAAATTTAGAGTAAAAAATTTGTTAGAGAAAATGAAATGTCTTTAATTAATAGAAAATTTAAATTCAAATTAAATAAAATATCACTGTTTGATGATGTTTGAAAGTACTATGTGTAATGGGTTTTAGATTCGAAAAGTTACCCCCCTGTTATTTGGTGTTGGTAAGTCTTGACTTTTTAAAAGTGAAGGCCAAAGATAGGAATATTCTTACTTTTTATTTTTTGAAAATTATGCTTTCTTATTATTAGCATATTTGTATTTGTATATTGTAGTACTTTGCAGTTAACCAAAATTTCATTGTCTTGCATGGTTGGTTGCAATTACTAGGATTCTAAGAGTACAATCGATATTGATTATTCTGCTACTTCACCCTGTTTTCTTAATACATAGTTTTGATAGATAGGAAGTATGACTTTCCTGTGTCTATACAACCTGGGGTGATCTTCGTTGCTTTTTATGCCTAGGATCACAAATTTGATGGCCCGATCTTTCAATATTTTCTTTTTGCTGCAGAAGGTATTCCAGAAATGGATGTGAATGTTTCCACTTCTCAACTCAGAAAACATTCGAGCCAAGTGTATTTAGGGCTCCAGACTTAAAAATGTCTCACTCTCTTCGGACATTCCCTTTAAATTGCAATGGTATAGGAGCTTTGGTTGACTTTGATGGTTCAACAGTCTCTAGTTTGGTGCCTGTTGTTAATCAGGTTCTTTTGATGGGAAGTATATTGCTCACTTATATGGCCGGAGTAGTTCCTATTAACAAATCTTATATCAGTGATCAAAATATCAATTCTATTAAAAATGTTTTACGTGAGAGCTCAGACATTTCTGGTAGGTAAGGGTAAGCAGGTCAAGATATCAAGGTTGAATTGTTTTTAATCTTATACGTAGATGGAAATACTGTTAAAGTATTTGGAGACAGATGATTGTTATTTCTCTAATTACTTGAGAACTTTTGTCTCTTTTGCAGTGCAATGAAGCAAAATGATCAAGTTGAGTCAAAGTATGTATTAGATGTGGTGAGAGAAAAACTTTTGAATTCACTAAAGTCATTAGAGAATGAGGCTTATACGGGGGACACCATCCTTCAATATGCAAAAAGACCCTTGAGTTTAAATGCTGTGGCCGAGGGTCCAAAGTTAAGGTTACTTTGGGCTGCTTTTCTGCAAATTGAGGAAGAGGCAGGGATTGTTTTTATTTTCTCTTTTCATTGTTTGTCATGTGCACATGTTATGTTATTTTGGTATAATTTGGAATTTTGACAAGTTGGAATGCAATAAATGCTTGAAATGTCTTCTGTCTTGGTATATCTTAGATATCATACCTTTACAAAACTTATTTGAAAAATATCTTTAAGAATGCTATGATACTATTTTTTTTGCAATATCCCAGCCATTCATTTACTACATTACTTGCTTCCTTCTAGTATACCAATCAATCGGAAATTTTTTATTTAACTACTGGACTTTAAAATTAGTTTGTTTTCTTGAAATTAAAAACCAGTCCAAAAGTTTGATTCTTTATACATTTCATTGCTCTTTTTTATAACTCATTTCCACACTAAAAAAATGCATACCAAAGTGAATAAGTTGGTGTAAGCTATTTTTACAATTATTCTAGCATCTATTTATTGGTGGTTAGCTTTTTATCCAGGTGAATAATAACTCAAGCATTTCCAGATCTGTTGGTATGGATGGTCTTTTCAAAGTTTTTTCTGAATTTATTCAAAGATCATGTCATTCTATCTGTGCTACATGGCTGGAAAAGGAGTTTTTCCTTGTGAAAAGCAACACTGACAAGGTAATTTTATAAAGTGCATATATCAATAAATTTATGTCCTTTCTACTAATACTAGTACATTCGAGTAAATTACTGAACTAGGTTGGATAGATTTGAGTACAATAAATTTCTAAGAGCTAGGTGTATGGGATGATATCTTATGTACAAAAAACTTGTTAAATCCAAGTTATTAAATCGTAAGATAAATCCCATTTTCATAATATTCTGATTTCAGGTTTTCAAGAAAATTCCATAAGGTGTATCAGGTAAGCTGGTTTGGCTTCTCAAAAATGGCAAATGCATCTTAAAGAGAAAATTATAGAATTTTATAAGGACCCGGTATTATAAAGCTCCTTCCCTGATGTGATCTAGTAGAAGGTCAAACCCATTGTAGGTCTATTATAAGCAGCCCCTTACCTTTCATCTGTGAGGGGTTGATTCTTAGAGTTATAACATTGATTGGAAAATCAATGGACGAGTTAGTGATAACTTACATGCACATGTATAATAAACGTTAATACGATTTCAGTCTTTCAATTTTCTAGTGTTGTTAAATAGTAGCTATAGCGGCACAAACCGCTGTCGCGCAGTGGAGTTCAGACAAACCGCTATTGTTCCGTGATATGAACCGCTATTGTTCCGTGATATGCTATTTGATACAAAATGTTGTCAAATAGCTGCTATAGTGGCACACTATAACATTATTGCTTGGCAGAATCTTAGCCAATTGCTATTTTCTGCTATCTGAGATTGACAGTGTTATGATTTTCCAAACAACTATTCCCTTTGTCTCATATTACTTGTCATTTAAGGTAATACACACATCTTAAGGAAGTCATTTATTATATACTAATTGCAATGATAAAATAAGTTCTATTGACTACAATGCTTTATTGTGGTAGTTAGATAGATAATAAGGATTAGTTTTAGTATTGTAGGCTGAGACAGTGTTATCAATGGCAAACCATGGCGGAGAGCCAAAATTCCGCAAAAAAGCTTGACATACGGTGTCGTGGCGCCACCATCCTTCACATATTTGGCCATAGCAGAGTGCCAAAAAAATCGTCACCGATATCCACCATGGCATCGCAATGGCGGAAAATTGAGAATACTGGGTTGAAATACCTATAAATGTAGTATTATTGAAAAATAGTTAATACTGTCTTGATATTATAAAATGGGAAGTTATTGGAAGAAAAAGATGAAAGCTGATGTAATTTTATTTTTCAGTCATAGGCTGGTTTATATAATGAAAATACAATAAAAATACTTAATGCTCTCCTTAATGAAGAATAAAAGAAAATAAATGACAATAAACGTAAACAATTAAATATGAAAATAAAACATTTTCCAACACCCCCCTTCAAGTTGGTGCATAGATGTCTATCATGTTCAACTTGTCTATCAAATGCTTAAAGGTAGGTCTTGCCAAACTTTTGGTCAGGATATCCGTAGTTTGCTGACTTGAAGTCACGAAAGGTAGACATATGATTCCAGCATATAACTTCTCCTTTATGAAGTGTCGATCAATCTCAATATGATTGGTTCTATCATATTGAACTGGATTATGAGCTATGCTAATAGCAACTTTACTGTTAGAGTACAATTTCAATGGAAGCTCAACTTTCATCTTAAGTTCTTCTAAGACTCTAAGGATCCATAATCCTTCACAAATACCTTGAGACGTAGCTTTAAACTCGGCTTCTGCACTACTCCTTGCTACAACACCTTGTTTCTTGCTCCTCCATGTCACAAGATTACCCCAAACATATGTATAGTATCCAGAGGTTGATCTTTTATCGGTGACTGAACCTGCCTAATCAGCATCGGTGAAGATAGACACATTCCTTTCAGTAGTCTTTTTAAAAAATAATCCTTTTCCAGGATTTCCTTTCAAATATCTCAATATCGTATAGACTGCCTCAAGATGTTCTTCGAAAGGAGAATGCATAAACTGACTCACTACACTGACTGAGAAAACAATATCAGGTCGGGTGTGTGACAAATAAATCAGTTTTCCAACCAATCTCTGATATCTTCCAGTATCAACATGAACATTACCTTCTCCGCAAAGTTTAGCATTAGGATTCATAGGGGTATCTGTAGGACGACATTCACTCATTCTTGTTTCTTTCAATAAGTCTGAAGTGTATTTCTGCTGTGAAACCACAATACCATTCTTTGACCGAGCAACCTCCATGCCTAGAAAATATCTCATGAATCCCAAGTCCTTGATTTCAAAATCTACTGCCAATTTCTCTTTTACCTTTGTCATTTCCACTGTATCGTCTCCAGTAAGGACAATATCATCAACATAAACATTCAGAACAACAACTTTTCCATCGTTGGAGAATTTTGTGAATAAGGTGTGGTCAGTTTGTCCTTAAATGTACCCTTGATTCTTCATGGACTGAGTGAATTTTTCAAACCAAGCTCTGGGAGACTGCTTTAATCCATACAAAGACTTATTTAGTTTGCATACATTTGATCCAAATTTGTTTTCAAAACCAAGAGGAATGTCTATATATACTTCTTCTAGATCACCATTAAGAAAAACATTCTTAACATCTAACTGACGTAGGGGCCAATCCAAGTTAGCAGCAAGAGATAAAAAAATTCTTATAGTGTTCAATTTTGCAACAGGAGCAAATGTCTTTGAGTAGTCTATACCATAGGTCTGAGTGAAGCCTTTAGCCACCAAGCGAGCCTTGTACCTTTCAATTGACCCATCTGAATTATACTTCACAGTAAACACCCATTTGCATCCAACTGTCTTCTTGCCATCTGGTAGCAACGTAATACTCCAAGTTTTGTTCTTTTCAAGAGCTTTCATTTCCTTAAGTACAACTTCCCTCCACTTTGGAATTTCTAGAGCAACCTGTACACTTCTTGGAATTTCTACACTAGACAATTTTCATAAAAACCTTTCCTTTCCAAGTCCTGTTTCCTAATTCGAATCTGTTTTCTTGAAGTGACTCATTATTTTGTGGTATTTCAATTAGATCATCATTATCATCGTTTTCAGGATTCTCATTGTTTTCTACAAGAGAAAATGTAGGCTCGGATTCACAAGGCTCCTTACTCATAACAGGAGTAGGATCAAATACAGAATCATAGCTATTTTCTGTTGGTGCAGATGTAAAAGTCTCAGAATTGTGGCACGGGCAAAGATAAATTTTTTAAAAAACTCATGTCCTCAATTTGAAACGAGTCTTCCTTTATATCCCCCCCTTGAAGATGAGTGTCATCAAAGAAAAGTTTATTTTCAAAAAATGTAACATCCATAGTGACAAACATTTTCTTGTTTTTTGGATCAAAACATTTATATCCTTTTTGTGTTGAGGAGTATCCAACAAAGACACATTTTATAGCATGTGGCTCAAGTTTTCCAACATTTTTATGTTCATGAACAAAAGCTGTGCAACCAAAGATTTTTGAAGTCAAATCAGTTAAAACACGAGTACTAGGAAAACATTCTTTGAAGACATTAATTGGAGTTTGAAAATTGAGAATTTTGGAGGACATTCTGTTAATTAAATACGCAGCTGTTAAAACAGCTTCGCCCCACAAATAATTTGGTACGTTATTAGAAAGAAGGTAGAGCTCTAGCAACCTCCAATAAATGTCTATTTTTCCTTTCGGCCACTCCATTTTGTTGAGGAGTATTAGGACATGAACTTTGATGTACAGTTTCATTTTTTAGAAAAAAATCATCAAGGATAGTGTTAAAATATTCTTTGCCATTATCACTTCTAAAAACTTGAATATTTGTTTGAAATTAGTTCTGCACCATTGAAAAAAAATTCTTTACAGCCTGGCAAACATCTGATTTTGCCTTTAACAAATACACCCAACATACTCTTGTATGGTTATCTATAAATGTGATAAATCATTTTTTGAGAGAGAGTGTACTAGTACGGTTAGGGCCCCAAACATCACTGTGAATAATAGAAAACGGTTTTGATGGTTTATAAGGCTGTATTGAAAATTGGGAACGGTGATGCTTTGCAAACTCACATGCTTCACATTTAAACGAAGAAAAATTCTTATTGTGAAATAACTTAGGAAACAAGTGTTTTAAATAACGAAAACTAGGATGACCTAATCTTAAATGCCATACCATATTGTTGTCATCTTTATTACTCAAAACAGAAAAAGACTCAAAGCAGGAACTTATTGTTAAAGGTAGTTGTGATACAGATCCAATGTCAAGGTAGTAGAGATCTTTATTGAGCCCAGCGAGAAACATGAATACACGATCATTTTCTTACCTCCTGAGAAACAAAACACTGTTTTCTGTACACCTCCAATTGTCATCATAACAAAGATCCAACTCTTGTAAGACTTACCTATTCCAGTTTCCATGGAGCTTACCAGCCACGCAATAATCAAAGAGTTTTCAGATTTCCATTGTTTGTAACGAGGATCTCCTGATGCCGGTTCAGCTACTGCTCCTGTTAAGAAACCAAATTTCCCTTTGCTATCCAACACCAACCGAACAGTTTGAGTCCATTCATTATAATTATTTCCATTCAGTTTTGGGATATTGACCTTGAGGGAGTATGAGGAACCCTCTTGATCATTACCGCCTATGTTGGAATAACTATCACCAAAGACAATGTTCCTACTTCCGATGTTGCCGTTATTACTGCCAAAAACAATGTTAATGTCTTCATTATTGCAACTGTTTGTGACCACTGACGGTTCCTCTCGTTCGCCATCTCCGCGACAACCGCCGTTTCCTCGGCCACCTCCGTTGCTGCGGCCACCGCCGTTGTTATTCGCCATAAGAGGTTAAACGTGTATGTGAATCGGATCGGGTAAAAAAGCGGGTCGAATCGAAATTTTTTTCGGGCTTACGCCTCGAACCCCACTAGCTACGCCCAGAGCTCTGATACCATATTGGAAGAAATAAATAAAAGCTGTTGTAATTTTATTCCTCAGCCAAAGTCTGGTTTATATAATGAAAATACAATAAAAATACTTAATTCTCTCCTTAATGGAGAATAAAAGAAAATAAAGGACAATAAACGTAAATAATTAAATATGGAAATCAAATATTTTTCAACTTAAGTAATTTGAAACAAATTAACAAATGTTCCACCACATGTTTTTAATAACTTACCTGTATTGTCTTGCATACATGATATGACAATCATTAAGAAATAATTAAATGCTTCATATGTACTGATTTTAGTTTTTTTGAATCGTTCTTAGGAGTTTCTTTCTTTGATACTTGAAAAAGTGAAAGGGGATAATGCTATTACACAGAACATTACAAGGTCTGGCAAGAAGGATCTGTATTCAGAATTACTTTGGTATCTTACTTTCAGTTTGCTTAGGTAATTTTTTTTTACTTGCACTTTTATGATTTTTTCTGGTTCCATTTTAATTTAATTTTGTTATGTATTGAATCATGAATAATTTAATTGATGAGTATGCTTGCCTGGTTATCTCTTGGAATTTACATTATCTTTCAATTTTACACATTTTTTCTCTGGTATCTAGTCTACAACTGAATGCTTTTCAACTAACTTAACTGCTACTTTTAGCGTGTTACCTTTGGGCACAAAACTTGTAGGTTAATTGTTCTCTTGTCATGAGAAATGTGTCTTATTCTTTTCTCCTTTTTCTCATAGGAACATAATGAAAGTACACAAAAGACTTTAGTTTCTCGTGCTCTCGTTTCTTTTACTGAAAAATATGTTTTTAGGCAAGAAATAATGGAAAGAGTGCTATTTATCAGAAGGAATATCCGATATATGAGCCACTTCTTAATTTTGACATTCTTGGTTTACAATACTGTTGTTGCCTGGTTTACAAAGGAACATGGTTGGAATGAGTGATTTCTGTCTATATAGGAGTAATTTACCATTTTAATTTCTTTTTAGCCTATTATTGAGTCCAATGCCATCTCATAATTTTCTTTTTTCTTAACTTCTCAATTAGTATTTGATCCATCTCATAGAGATTCGACTAAATTTTAAGTTTATTGTCGACTACGTAACACATCTCCCTCCTTTTATCTGAGCTTGTGTAACACTCAAGGTAATGGAAAATTTTCCCGTACAACTGTAAGACCGTCAACCTTGTATGGGCCGGATTGTTGGGTGGTAAAGGACCAAAACGAGAATAAATAATCGTAGAGGAGATGTGGAAGTTGCATATGATGCGTGGTAAGACTAGACATGATAGGATATAAATAACAACATTAGAGAAATGTTGGGGTAACACCTATCATAGAAAAAATGGTGGAAACTTGACTTATGTGATTTGTACATGTAGTAAGAAGGTCCTTAAATTATGTAGTAAGGAGAGTGTGTCAGATGAAGAGTAGTCAAATCAGTAGAGGTATAGAAAAATCTAGAAAAACTACAAGAGAAACTATTAAAAAAATTTAGAAATTAATGAGTTTGGATAAAGATATACGATTGAACATTATGATATGGTGTAAACTATGAAGCTGACCCACTTAGTGGGATAAGACTTTACCCATTTAGTGGGATAAGACTTAGTTGTTACTGTTGTTAACTTCTAAATTATTTTTCAGTGTTGTCTTTTGATTTAAGACACTCAGCAGTCATCCATCTTTTGTCAGGGACGATTGCTGTTATGATTTCAGTATATTTGCTGCCCATGGTGTTTCCATATTGGAAGATTTAGTGATAGCTCTGGCAGACGGGGTTGCAAGCGTCTATCTGGAGTTTATTTCTGTTGATAGTAAGGTGTCAAGTAAAACTAATAGCTGGGACATGTCATTGTGTGCTATGTCCACCAGGGAACTCCAAAAATTACGTAACGAGGTATAAATTTCAAGCTTATGAATATTGTTTCTGTTGTTTACCCATATTAGTCTATTTCACTCTATCTCAGAGCTCTAAGAACTGAATGTGATTCTTTTTAGTAAAAAGTTCTACGGTGGTTCCACAGAGTGATATTTTTCTCTAAAATAATATATAATTATTGACTTTAAAAATCCATTCTTCTTGCATTATGTATTAATGTAGTTAGGAGCCAAAGCGGAAATCTTCTCTTAAAAACAACTTAACTGTAATTGTTCATGTTAAAGTTGATATTTGTGTTGTTGAAGTTTGTTTGAAGTCTCACATTACTTAAGTTCCAGACTGTTGATTGTATAAATATGTGAGGGCGACCTCCCCCTTTAACATGGTATCAGAGCCGGATTAAGGATTGCAATGTAGGCCTAGGTCAAATGCCCACATCGTAGTCTTTAACCCGGCTCTGATACCATCCGTCCAAGAATTTTTTTCCTTATTGGCTCAGGGTTGCCCAGCAAATTACCAAGTATGGAACATCCCTAGAAAGCTGTGCTCCAAGCCCAGTCCAACTGTCAGTAAGCAGTTAGAAGCGAGGCTGTCAGTGGGAAATTAGTCTACAAATAAGAAAATGTATTATAGATTGTTGATATTTGTAAATATATATATAGTGTTAAGAATATTTGTATATAGAATAGTCCCACATCGACTATATCATGTAATTAGTTGTAATCTATTTATATATAATAATGTCTTCGTAGTGCTTTTCAAAACACACGGTTTATTCATGTCTCTTAGTCTCTTGTATTTAAACATGGTATCTAGAGCCTACTAAGAGGCAATTCTTTCTTCACCATTTTTTACCCGGTTGACCTACTGTCTTCCGGTGAGAAAATTTTTTTTTGGCAAACCGTGTTGTCACTCCGGTTTGCCTCTCACTTTTCAAAATTCTCCCGTCTTGCCGCCTTGCCGCCGTTACAGTTCCGGCAAAATTTCCAACGACGTTGTCCTCCGATCCGGTCGTCGCCCTTTTTCCCGCTGCTGCCCCAGCGCGACCGGCGGCTGATTCCAACCGTTTTTCTGCCGATCTACTCACCTCTCCTCACCCATTCCAGATCCGGCCTCTGTTTTACTTTCCGACTCACGGAAAACGGTGCTCCAGTGCAAACAGCCCGAATTTCACTCTGTTTTTTGTGTCATTAAGCTATGGGAGACGCTGATTCTGTCTCGTTCACTAAAGTTCCTCTTATCCCATGTGAAAAACTAACCGGATCAACAAACTATAACATATGGGCTCGTGCTGCCGATATGTGGTTTCGTGGTCAGGGATATGAAGATCACCTAACCACACAATTGACTAATGTTGCCTCCGACAAACTTGCTAAATGGAAGAAAACAAATGCCTCTCTCCTTACCGTGTTATGGTTCTCCATAGCACCTAACCTCTAAGCACAGTATCAAGCCTTCTCCACTTGCTATGAAGTTTGGGAAAAGGCCAAGAAAGTCTTCTCCAATGACGTTCATTGTCTACACAGTGTCATCCTCAAACTCGACACACTAAAGATGGAAAATATGGATATACAAACCTATCTGAGTAAGCTTGATGCCTTGAAAGCAAGTTACGCAACCCTCATGCCGTACGCAAAAGACGCAACAGCTCATGCCGAACAACAGAGTAAAAATTTCATGGTCATGGCACTTAAAGGACTACCATCCGAACTCGACGCCGTTCGTAACCGGATTTTATCAGGTACTACTGTACCTAACTATGATGCAGTTAGTGAACAACTGTTGCGCTTGGCTACACCTCATGCGTTTGGTCCGGTTTCCCCTCCATCTACTGTTGCTACACCAGGTGACACTGCTGCCCTCGCATCTCTTGGCAACAATCAGAGTCGCCCTCAGAGTCGCCCTCGAGGAGGGTCATCCAACTCCAAACCTCGTCCCAAGTGTAACCATTGTAACCGGCTTGGACATACTATCGACCGTTGTTGGAAGCTACATGGCAAACCCTCACGCCAGGTAAATGCAACTCAAAGTGATAACTCAGAAACTATGCAGACTTCACCTTCTATTCAGAACTCTACGCCAAGCTACGAAGATTTTCTCAGATGGTGTCAGACTAATCAGATCTATGGTTCCACTGCTTCGGTTGCACACACTGGTAATTCATCTGTTTGTTTCTCTCAATCATCTCCTCTTGGTCCTTGGGTCCTTGATTCTGGTGCGTCTGATCATGTTAATGGTAATAAAGGTCTTTTTTCTTCCTTCTCTACCTCTGGTTTCTTGCCTATTATAACTGCCGCAAATGGTTCTCAAACCCGATCCCAAGGGATTGGTACTGTTCAAATTTTACCATCTCTCTCTGTTACTTTTGTCCTTTATGTACCTAATTGCCCATTTAATTTACTGTCAGTCATTCGTTTAACTCGTTCCCTTAATTGTTCTATCACCTTTACTAACAGTAATGTTACTCTGCAGGATCGGAGTTCGGGACAGACGATTGGCGTCAGATGTGAGTCTCAAGGCCTCTACTACTTCTCTACGTCATCTACCACATGCTTCACCACAGATTCTCCACTCATTATACATGCGCAGTTAGGTCATCCAGGTCTTCCCAAGCTACAAAAGTTGGTGCCCAGTTTATCTAAATTATCCACTTTACATTGTGAGTCTTGTCAGTTAGGGAAACATACTCGTAGTCACTTTTCCGATCGAGTCAATAAATAGGCTGCATCCCCTTTTGCTTTAGTTCACTCCGATGTTTGGGGTCCCTCACGTACCGTGTCTACTTTTGAGTCTAGGTATTTTGTAACCTTTATTGATGATTTTTCACGTTGCACATGACTTTTTTTAATGAAGAACAGGTCTGAATTGTTTTCTATTTTTGAACAATTTTATCGAGAAATAAGAACCCAATTTGGTTTATCTATTCGTACCCTAAGAAGTGACAATGCACCTGAATATTTATCCCAACAATTTCAAACATTTATGTCATCCAATGGTATTTTGCACCAAACATCTTGCCCTCATACACCCCAACAAAACAGGGTAGCCGAACGCAAAAATCGGCACCTCGTAGAAACCACTCGGACACTACTTCTCCATGGTAATGTTCCTCTCCGGTTTTGGAGAGATGCGGTGCTCGCAGCATGTTACCTCATAAATCGCATGCCCTCATCTGTCCTTAATAATAAAATCCCTCATTCAATCCTGTTTCCAAACTCTCCATTCCACCCAATTCCTCCTCGAGTCTTCGGGTCAACTTGTTTTGTACACAATCTCTCCCCTGGTCTTGATAAACTATCAGCTCAATCACTAAAGTGTGTCTTTCTTGGCTATCATCGATCCCAAAAAGGTTATCGTTGCTACTCACATACTCTACAACGATACCTCGTATCCGCCGATGTTACCTTCTTCGAGTCTGTTCCATATTTCGAATCCAGCCAAGTAACTACGGAACCTCTACGGGAAAGTAGTCCCACACCTCTTCCGGAAGTCCCATCTGTCATTATCCCCCATCATTCTAGGGAACCTGACCCACTAGTTACCCCTACGGTTGACCCCCCCACTCCTCGCCCACTTCAAACATATCAGCGTCGTCACCCAAAGTCTGTCATACCTGTCCTTGAAATCGTATCTGTCCCTGAAGTCGTACCTGTCCCTGAAGTTGTACCTGTCCCTGAGGTCACTACGGACTCTCCTCCGACGCTCTCGCCATCACCGGATTCGATCCTGCAACCTGAGTCTGATATTCCGATTGCCCTTCGGAAAGGTATACGTCAAACACAAAATCCTTCTCCACATTATATTGATTTATGTTATCATCGTCTTTCCCCTTTGCAGTATACTTGTTTGTCTTCTTTGTCTTCTGTTTCTATTCCTAAAACTCCAGGTAAAGCATTATCTCACCCTGAGTGGAGGCAAGCAATGATTGATGAAATGTGTGCTCTTCAAAGCAGTGGTACCTGGGAACTGGTTCCTCTGCCCCATGGAAAATCTTTAGTAGGTTGTCATTGGCTTTATACAGTGAAGGTTGGTCCAGATGGAAAGATTGATCGATTTAAAGCTCGCTTGGTAGCCAAAGGATACACTCAAATTTTTGGTGGTGATACTTTTTCGCCTGTAGCCAAGATGGCATCTGTTAGACTTCTTCTAGCCATCGCAGCCATTCGACATTGGTCTCTTCATCAACTTGACATCAAAAATGCATTCTTACATGGCGATGTTGAAGAGGAAGTATATATGGAGCAACCACCTGGGTTTGTTGCTCAGGGGGAGTCATCGAATATGGTTTGTAGGCTACACAGGTCTCTTTATGGTCTTAAGCAATCTCCGAGAGCTTGGTTTGGCAGATTCAGCACTGTAGTACAACAGTTTGGTATGATCCGTAGTGAAGCTGACCATTCTGTTTTTTATCGTCACTCACCCTAAGGGTGTATTTATCTTATTGTGTATGTAGATGACATTGTCATAACTGGTAGTGATCAGCAGGGAATACTCCAGTTGAAACAACATCTCTCGAAACAATTTCAGACAAAAGATCTTGGTAAACTCCGTTATTTCTTGGGTATTGAAGTAGCCCAATCTAAAGATGGTTTGGTGATTTCTCAGCGGAAATATGCTATGGATATTTTGGAAGAAACAGGTTTGTTAAATGCTAAACCAGCCGATACTCCTATGGATCCAAGTGTTAAACTACTACCCAATCAGGGGGAGCCTCTATCTGACTCAGGAAGGTATAGGAGATTGGTTGAAAAGTTGAATTATCTCACAGTCACTCGTCCGAACATTTCTTTTGCAGTCAGTGTGGTAAGCCAGTTCTTAAATTCCCCTTGTCAAGAACACATGGATGCTGTTATCCGGATTTTGAGATACATCAAATGTGCTCCAGGAAAAGGTCTTGTGTATGAGGATAAAAGACATACCCAGATAATTGGATACTCTGATGCTGATTGGGCAGGGTCACCCATTGATAGACGATCCACCTCTGGGTATTGTGTACTTGTTGGAGGAAACCTTATATC